CTGAAAAATGGGAAAGTTCAGCTCATGATTTTCTGGTAGATAGTTTAAAATATGAACTTTATTTTGCATTAAATCATTAATTTTATTTTATCCACAGATACTGTTAAGTTTGTTCTTCCAGCATAATCGCTCTTTATGCTTGAGGCTTATGTACTGTCAAGGGGAGTAAGAATTTCTTGAAATATATGGCTTAAAACTGTTTTTTTACAGGGTGAAGTATGTGACATGATCAACAAGAAGTATGAGGAGTTCATCCCAAGTTTAAAAAATGGAGAGGATCTGGTAAATCAGGTGGATGGCATCTCAATGGAGATAGATGTCCTTAAATCACAGATTGAAAATGAGGTAATTGAAGCTAATGAGAATCCCACAGAAGTGAATAAGAGATTGTAGAAAGGCCTTATTGCCTGAGCTAAAGATTATCACAAGATGTATTTGGGTGTTGGACTAATGCTCAGAATACAGTGAAGGTTTGGAGTTGTACTGTCAGTTCTGTCTTATTGCAGGTTGATCTGATTTGATTTATTGTTGTTGCATATACCGAGATACAGTGAAAAGTGTTGTTTTGCATGCTGTATGGGCAGATCGTACCATGCAAAATGCATCAGGGTAGCAGAGCAGAATGCAGAATACTATGTTATGGCCGCAGAGAGAGAGAGAGCGAGAAATTAACAGTAATATTTGAGAAGTCTGTTAAAAAATCTGATAACAATGGGGAAGAAACTATTCTTGAATCAGTTTGTATGTGATTTCGAATCTTTATATCTTCTGCCTGACGGGAGAGAGTGGAAGAATATGTAACTGTGCTGGGTAGGGTATTTGATTATGTTGGTTGCTTTCCAGAGGCAGCGGGAAATATAGATGGAGTCAGTAGATGGAAGGCTGGTTTGCGCGATGGACAGGGCTGTGTTCACGAATCTCTGTAGATTCTTGTGGTTTTGGGAAGAGCAATTGTCATAGCATGCTGTGATGCATTCAGATAGATGCTTTCTATGGTGCATCTATAAAAATTGGTAAGAATCTTTGTGGGCATGCTCAATTTCCTTAGCCTCCTGAGGAAGTAGGAAGTTATGCTTTCTTTAGTGTTGCGTTGATGTGCGTGGACCAGGACAGATTGTTGGTTGCACAGAGATGAGCCATGCAGGCAATCAACATAGTCCATCTCACATGCAACTCTACTCTTAATCACTTATTTTCAATTTTGGGAGACAAGCAGGAGTTCTTAAAATTACCATAATATATGTGCAGAGGAAAAGGGCTTTTGGCCAAAACCAGTCCATGCCAACGTTAATACTCCATTTGCATAAATGCATAACATTGCATTAATACAAAAAAGCAAAATAAGGTGGATGTTGGAAATCAAATCAAAAAACTATTGGTAATACTTAGCAGGCCAGGTGACAGCTGTAGAGAGAGAGATATAAAGTTAACATTTCGGGTCTTTCCTTTAGGCAGGACTGCAAAATATAATGGGTTTTAAACAGGTACAGAGGCGAGAAGTAGGGAGTAGTGAAGGAATGAACCAAAGTGTTGATGATGTGGAATTTAGGGTGATTTTAAATGGCAAAAGGGATGGTGGTGAAGCCAGCAGGGAGTAGTCAAGAGGCAAGTAAAGGAACAAATTCTGGGGCAAGAGGACCTGTGAATGGCATTGAAAGAATCATTATCAACATTAGAAGCAGTTACAAAATTGTCCACAAAGCTTAATGAAGCACTCCGTACTTTATAAAATTAATTTCGATGCTTCCATTATGAATCAACCTGAAGAAGGTCTTCTGAAGTGTACATCAGTTCTAAAGCAGCAATGTACCAGCAACCTGCAAAAAGTTGCCTCCCAAAATTTCAGTGCTCCCTTTTACAATGTTTTCAGCTTGAACTTTTAGTTTGCAAATATAGCTAGTCTGTTGTACAGAGAAATGTACAGTTTAGTTTGAAGATGAAAAAGTTCTCACAAAATTTCAGATTTGCAGCAAAAAAGGGTTTGTCCCTTTTAATTAACACAAAAATGTTACTTTATATACCCGTTCTCCAGCAAGGCCTATACCTAGACTCTAAGCATACCCAGACATATGGAAATGTAATATCTAGCTTCCTTCAATGAGACCCCAGAAAAGGGGCCATTCAAACCATTGTTCTGTGCCAACCAAAACAAAAAGCTGCCCATTCAAATATTGCAAAATGTAAAAGTGATAATTTGCATGAATTTCTCACTAGATTGTGCTTTGTTTAATAGGTGCAGCGAGATCTCCATGTTGCTGTGACTGAGTTCACGGAGCTGAAACAACAGCTAGAGAAAAGTACAGCTTTACTGAGTGTGTTGACACAATTACATGAGGTAAGTGTCTGCCTTCTGTTCTAGAACAGGTTTCAATCTGTTCAGTGAGCTTCCTTGTTAATGGGTTAAGGTGGTGGACTTGAGTTCAGCAGTGAGAAAGGTCCAGGTACCTCAGTCTAGTCCTTTATCACGTAGCTTAAAAAAATTGTAGTCATGTTTTTTTATTTACTGAAAAGAAGAGGGATTGGTAGTGGGAGGAGGTACAGTATCATTGACGTTTGCTGTACATTTGAGTTTAGGGAGTGGCTGAATAGGCTGGGGCTAGTTTCCCTGGAGTGTCGAAGGCTGAGGAGTGACCTTGTAGAGGCTTATAAAATGAGCGGTATGAATCAAGTGAATAGCCAAGGTCTTTTACCCAGGCTAGGGGAGTCCAAAACTAGAGGGCATAGGTTTAAAGTGAGAGGGGAAAGATTTAAAAGGAACTCAAGGGGCAACTTTCACGCAGAGGGTGGTGCATGAATGGAACCAGCTGCCAGAGGAGGTGGTGGAGGGGGGTACAATTATGGCACTTAAGAGGCATTTGGATGGGTACGTGAACAGGAAGGATTTAGAGGGATATGGGCCAAATCCTGGCAAATGGGGCTAAATTAATTTAGGATATCTAGTCGGCATGGATGAGTTGGATCGAAGAGTCTGTTTCATGCTGTATAACTCTTATGACATCTATGAAGAGGATGACAGTAACATTGTGGATTAATCATACAGGCCATAGAATTATTGATCAGTGGCACTTGTGCATGTATAAGGCTGTCAGCAACCTCACTGATCAAATGTGAATGTCTGCAAAATGAAATAACAAAACGATCTTCTTACCGTGGTTCCACGTATATGGGCAGATTTTTCATTCAGACTCAATTAGCAACTTTGTCATTTGTTTCTGCATTGTGCTGTTAATGTACATATATTGGTAATAGTCAATGTTCAACTTTGATGCAAATATTTTCTCCAATTTAGTTGTTTACTCTGCCTTTTCTTGTATGAGAGTGGATAATGCTATAAAAGTAATGCAGATCAGGCAATATTTCTGAATTTTGTTTTAAAAAATTCAATTGTGGGGGCATGTATCTCATCAAAGTTTGAAAAATAAGTGAACGTTTAATTGAATCAAAAGGAATAAAAAGAGTCTTTGAGTCAAATGCATAGACAGAAATGGAAATTGGAGACCAATTGCAGGACATATCTCCATGACGGTGAAAATAACTGGAATAAATCAAAATCGAAAGAACTGCGGATGCTATAAATCAGGAGTAAAAACAGAAGTTGCTGGAAAAGCTGGGCAGGTCTGGCACCATCTGTGAGGAAAAAGTCAGAGTTAATGTTTCGGGTCTGGTGACGCTTCCTCAGAACTCAAATAAATCAAAATACCACTGATGTATCTATATCTGAAAAGTAAAACAGCAAATCTTCAAAAAGCTCCTCCACCCCTCACAACCCTTTCACCCCATCGAGGACTTACATGTGGCACTAGCTGTGAAGTCTTACTTTTTTTGACTTATAAACGTCAAGGAATGTTCATAGAACTATTTTACTTTTGCTTGTTATCTTTTCCAGTTTGACACTGCTCTTGGAACACATCACCAAGCTTTGTTGGAAAAAAACTACATCAAATCAGCTACTCATCTCAATAAAGTAAGTCTGTCCATCCTCACAATTGCTTTTGGAACATAAATCCCAGTTAGCAGTGTTAACAGGATTATACAAACTTCTAAGTAAAATGATCATTGAAACTGCGTATAAAAGTAAATTGCTGCAACTACAGCACTGCCATGGTCTAGTGGAGTTGATTTTGATTTAGATTCTTTGAATCTTCCTATCAATCCAAGTCTGAATTTTGTTGTAATTTCATCATGTAAGTTGATTTTTCATTATTTCTCACTGGTGTCTCTGACATTTAATTGTAAACTCTGGTTCTCTTAGCATTAACGTGTTGCTGTCATTATTTTTGTGTAGTTTTAAACTTCTTAATGAAATCTGGCAAATCTGTTTTACCAACAGCAATTGACAGAAACGTGGCATCTATATACATGTGGTGCTATCAAGTTTCTCAAACACATCAAGATGCATTACCAATGCTGGATTAGTTTGTGCCAGTGAACTATGTGTAGGCAAATATGGGAATGGTTATGCACAGGCAAAATTTCATAAATGACAATTGGATTAAACTAATAATTTAGCGAGGAAGGGATGTGTTGTTTGAAAGACAGGATACCAGGAAATTTTTTTGCTCCCTCAATAGAATGTGTTAATTTTAAGATCTGTCTGATCCGTCAAAGAGCCAAGCAGCTCTCAGTTTAACATTCTTGATTGTCTAAAGAACAGATGTTTTAGCTTATTCTGAAAATGCAGTATATATTTCTGGCCAGGCTAAAACATATGCTTGGTTTTGATTTTTTTTCTGAAGTGACTCAGCTAAGTTATAACTGCAAATGAGTCTAGCTTTCCCTTATTTGTGTTTGTGATTGTAAGGCACAGTCCAACCTGACATTACTAAAATCAAAGAAAGGCATTGAATTGAAAATGTTGCAAGTGCTTAGCACGGAACTCATCGTTCAGAAGGAAAAATTGCTGTACCATCTTGGTGAGGAGTGGAAGCAGCTGGCTGTTTGGAACCTTCCCCCTTCACCAGCTCCTACAAAAGGTGAATCAATTGATTCTTTTATTTTGGAAAAGTAAATATCAAATCCAAGGTGTGAGCTGTGAATGCCAAGCTATGTTGGAAGAAATCTGGTTACAAGAATCCTTTCTAAAAACAAAACTCTTGGGTTAAAATGTCCATGTATTTCCCGTTGATGTATATCATTGATAATTCCTTATTTATAATTAAAACTGTCTACGGAATTACAGTGTCTCACCAGTGAAATTGCTGCAGCAGCACCAATCGTGATGGGATGTAATTAAAAGCGATCCCTGATTTATGGATGTCTGACTTACAAGTATTTGCATTTGTGAGCGAGATCCCACATGGGCATGTTCATGTTAAAAGTCCGACACGTGAATTTGTACTTACAGGTATTTTATGTTGTGTTCATTGTGTTCCGACTTGCATATAAATTGACTTATGTACATGCTCAAGAATGGAACCCATTCATAACCCAGGGACTGGCTGTGGTGTGATTCTTTGTTGGATTCCTGGATGGGTTCATAACGGGAAGCTCCTGTCCAGGAATTTCCAGTGCAGACATCATCTAAATGTAAGTTAGTAGTTTTAAATCTGATCAGAGTTGAAAGCAGGATTTCTGACCCTGATCAGAACATTTAGGCCAATCTGTTTTAGTTAGAGATGTATTGGAAATTTTATCTTTAATTTTAATCTAACCTTCCCAAAAAAAACCTGTCTGTCCTGTCTTTATTAGGCCATGTGTTCTGTTTTCACAAAACTTGAGTAACTTTATTTTTAAAGTTGTCCCTTTATTTTCTTTCCTTGACTATAAGTGTTTCTTGGCCAATGCATGTTCAACTTCTGCATCACGATAGCTTGCCTGTAAGTTCTGACTTGAATTTTCGTCATATATTTCAGGGAGAACTTCTGCACCATTACCTAAGATCTTTCTGCTTTACTCTGTAGAAGTATTTATTTTTGATGTGAAGTAATATTGAAACTGTTGACATATGATGGAAACTGATCACTTATTGCTGTTTTCTTCCAGCTGAGGATTTGTTTGGGTGGACTTTGAAGACTGAGCTGCGCTTGTGCAACATGACATCGAAGAAGAAGAGTGATCTTGAGCCGCTGCTTGTGTCAATACTTCAAGGCTTTGCTATTCTTGGTGAATTGACCAGGAAACTGAAATTCTTCAGTAAGCAATTTAATCAATAAAATAGTTAATTTTTAGTTTTACCTCTGAGCAGGATGTGATGAATATTGTGAACTCCAAATGTAGTTGTTCGATCATTACCTTATGAGTTTGGTGTAGTTCTTGGAGGCAGAAGACAGGACTGATATAATGACGTAAAGTCGCATGGATTGGTAGGAGGCAGGTTTTGCCTTCTGACTGTTGGGGATAAAAAGATATTATAATCTGTTGACTTAATTTTTAGAAGTAAAATTCATCTAATCACATGATGAACCACGTGACATTTCCATCTGTGCAGAATGAAAGTCTGGGAGCTAGTCTTCCAACAGTATCGACAAGAACAATGAAACATGCCTTGGAAATTAGCTTGTTCAATCATATGTTTCTTAGATTTAAAGGTCTGACCTGAGAATTACAGAAGTAATGAGATAACATTCAAAAGCTTCAGTCAAAGTTAAAAAGCTTCACTCTTTTGCAATGCAGTACATTCAGTACACTGTTAGTCATGCACTAGAACACACATGTAGAGTTGCAAGGAGCTTGTATCTACAAATAATCCCTCTCCTCCCCCTCTTTTGAAATTCAGAAGTTACTGCCTTTTGTCTATTCAAGTTCCATCTGTATGTACCAGTCGGGAAGAGATAAGTTTCTTCAGCTGAGCTCAATTTCAGTCAACTAAGTGGGCAGCGTTCCAGATATGAAGCCTGAATGCTTTGCCCTCTCCTCAGAAGTGTGGGCCCCATGTAAGAAATGACTTAAACAGACATCCCATGGCCCAACAAGCCAGAGGAAAATGAGCTGTTTGCAACTATTTAGATATTATACACGTTTACGTGTAGATTTGTGTAAGGGATGGTGGTGGCCTCTAGTCTATCGTTAGACTTTTAATCCAGAGGCTCTGGTAATATTCCAGGGACCTGGGTTCGAATCTTGCCATTGCAGCTGGTGGAATTTGAATTCAATACATAGCTGCAATTAAAATTCTAATAATGATTGTGAAACCATGGTCGATTGTCAGGAAAATTCAGTCTGGTTCACTGATATCCTTAAGGGAAGGAAACTGCTGTCCTTGCCTGGTCTGGCCCACATGTGACTCCAGACCCACAGCAATCTGGTTGACACTTAATGGAATTAGTAATGGGTACTAAATGCTGGCCGAGCTAGTGACACCCACATCCAAAAAACACATGGAAGTTATGATCTGATTTTCATCCTCTTCCGCCTGCAAAACCCCCTCTTTATATTAACATCATAAAACAGCAATTTCAGGTTAACTTACTTTACATGCTGCCTGTTTGGCTGTAGAGCAGCTGGAGAGTAATTTGCCAGGTTACTTCCAGTTGGTTTTGAACTTAAAAGTTTCAGTTTGTATCATGGCTTCATATTAAAATGGTTAAGTTTTAAAATGTTTAGAAAACATTATATGACATTATCTGTCTGGCAGTTCTAAATACCTGCAGTGGAGAGAGGAGAAGAACTGTTGCTCTGAATAATATTGAATTTATTGCAATTTTCATATATACATGTCTACCTTTGCATGCAAGCTTGGCAAAATGACCATACAGTTTACAGGATGAAATCTGCAAGTCATGTCCATTTTTTTTATACCGAGCAAGCCAAAAATCTGTGTGAAACGTAACATTCAGAGCACATTCTGTTCCAGAATTGCGAGGTGGTAACATTAATTTCTGCCCTATTTAAGGGTAGGGTTTATTGAAATGTCTTTATTCGTTCACTCAGGACAGTTTGGGGATGACAGAAGACCAGTTCAATAGATTACAGACAGGGACTGAATGGCAGCAAGCTGTGAGGCAGAGACATGTACCTTCCATGCTAGAAGTAACTGCTTTTTAGCTATACTGAACTATACTGAGTCTGTGTGGTTGGCGACTCCGTGAGAAGTCATGAATGGTTGATTAACTTTTAGTACATTTCTGAGCCGCAGTTTCTCAAAGAGAGTTCTATATTCAGAAATGAGTGTTGAGCTGTATTGCTTTAAAGGCAAGTGAACTACACAGATCCAGAGTAGGAAACCCTGTGAGATAGCTTTTGGGAAAAGCTGAAGTTGCACGGGTGAATAAATACTGGAGGGGCAGGTTTTGGAATTGAGGGAAGCTGGACCCCAGGAAAGGAGGGAAGTGCTCTGGTACAGGAGCGATCGTTGAGGCAGTCCAAGGTGGGATAGCTACTGTAGAGGAAGTTTCAAGGCCCGATTAGCAAAAATGAAGAATTATTCCTTGTGAAGTTTAAAGTGATTTGATGACAGCCCCATACCATCACCACCACTATGTCATTAACATCTTTGAGGAGTTGCTCAGAAATTCATGGAATCTGTCTTGATCGCATTTGATATTTTTATGTGAACTGTGGAGTGTTAGATCACTTTCTATAACGTATACTTATCACTTTAGAAATAAGTTGTACATTTATTGTACATTGTATTTCTGTTCTAACATGTAAAGTCTTGCTGTTTTATGAAGACCTTGGAATCTTATGGCTTGATTCTCTTCTTAAGTTCTCTGGATCTCACCTTTTGTATATTTTAAAGATAAAGATTACAGGTCCCTTACGAGATTGTAGCATTAATGGATGATTTCATCCAAAGTTGGTGGTCTGGTCTGGAGTAATGGCAACTCGTAATTGTAGAATTTCATTCATGTTTTTCCTGTGGACACCTTTCTTGGTTTAATGTGAATACCTGTCTCTGAATTGCGCAGGTCAGATCCTGATGAAATATGTATTGAAGCCATTGGTTCTTGATCCTTCCCTTGATGTTGAGATTGAACTTCAGACAGGGGATGCAGTATTAAGGTTGATTGCAGTTGAAAAGCAGTCTGATCATGCCTCACCAACAGAAGTTTACCGGAAGGTGATCAATGTTTTGGAGTTCCTGCACCAACATCTTCTTTGTACGTACACTTCCTTTCCGTTGCTTTGTCTACTTTATGAATATTCAATAGGAATTTTACTTGTTGCTTTATTAAGGATGAATATTTCTGTGAAATTAGTCCAACAGTATAATTCAGATAAAACATTTACAGTTAGTTGTGTAGAGTATCGACTGTGTCTATTTTTGGATATTTTTCTTAGATGTGTCTCATTGGGATTCTGTGGTTTGTGACGTGAAGCAGGATGCAATCCTGACAGAGTTGCTGGGAGATATGATCTGGGAGGATTTATCAGAAATTATTATCAAGAACTGTTTAGTATATTCCATACCAGCAAACAGCAGCCAATTGGATCAGTATGAAGAGGTAAAGAGACACGCGAAGCAAGGCTGGGGCAATATCGATCAACAGCCATTTTTGGGACTGCTTTGTGAATTTTTTTGTACAGCGATTCTGAAAACTCTGGCATTACAAGAATTACTTTTCTATAATTTAATGGATTTTCCCAAAGCTAATGTGTTCTGAGTGCAGTTATTTTATATGTATACTTGTTTCCTACGATATCCACTTCCTATCTATACATCTGGCTTCCAGATTTCTCAAGTTTTGACCACACATTTCACAAATGTATCATTTGCAATTCTTGTTTCAACATCACTCAGATCGATAACACTGTGTCACTCTCACATCATAATTGGAGACTTTGGCCTCTAAGTAGATTACAGAGCAGATTCCTGTGACCTCTTTGCCACCATCTTGTATTTTTGCAAGAAAGTTTCTTTATGAACTGACAGTTGGAAATTTACTAAAAATTATAATAAAGTGCATCTTTCTGGATTGATTGTTAACTGTAAAAATCATTAATGGTGCTAATGATCATCCAATATGTAGACACCGATACTACAAACAAGTGCCAACCATACAAATATTTCTTACAATTCTTGCTGTATCAAGCCAGTGATTGATAAGATGCTTTACTGTTTCTAGGTGGAATCAGTACCTCTCTTACAATTATGCAGATGAAAAGTGCAAACTATAATTTGGTTTGAATGGGGGCAGTGATGGGGGTGCTTTTTCACATTTCCTATATCTTTTAAAGGAAGGACTTCCATCTCTGAGCTGGACTGTCGAGCATTTGCTGATTTTTTTTTTCTCAAATTAAATAAATTGTTTCCTAATGATTAGGAGTCCCTGTTGCTGTGACTGCAAATACTACTAAAGCAAGCTCAGACTGGCTTTAGGGAGAGCAGAATCTAGTTGAGCAAAATTGAGTTGGAATTTCGGAGTTTCAATGCTCAAGACAGCAATGGCCACTATAGTACTCTGACTGAGTTGTAACAACTGCATCCTACACTAACAGGCTACCACTTAGTTAGGACCCATCTGTTCCAGTATGTCTACCTCCACCAACAACACACACAGTCATTCACTCACACTCTCTCTCTCTCTCTCTCTCTCACACACACACACACACACACACACACACACACACACACACACTCACTCACTCTCTCGCTTACGATTTCTCTCCCCCACCTCGCTGTCTTCCTCGCCCTCTCTCTCTCTCTGTCTCTCTTTTTCTCTCTCTCTGTCTCTCCCTCTGTCACTCTGTCCTTCTCATTCTCTCTCTTCAGCATCACAACCATTTGCAAGCCACAAACTAGGTCACCATGAGAACGTTCGTGAAGCGCTAATCTAGTGCTTCCAGTGCCAGATGAATTTAACTGTGGAACCAACCAGGCTGATAGATGAAAAAGAAACAAAACAAAAACAGAACTGCAGAAGCTGGAAATCTAAACCAAAAACAAAAATTTCTGGAGAACCTTAGCAGGTCTAGCAACATTTGCGTAGAGAAAGCAGAGTTAATGTTTCAGGTTCAGTGATCCTTCATCAGAGCCTGTTTTTCAGTTCTGAAGAAGGGCAGTGGACCCAAAACATTGCCTCTGCTTTCTCCACAGATGTTGCCAGACCTGCTGAGCTTCAGCAATTTCTCTGACACATGGAGAATTTCTTCAGCAAATGTCCCAACTATGAATTGTACTGTATATTGCCATTATTGTCTCTTCATATGAACATGCTGCAGCTTGAGTAGTTAAAAGTGCCTGAGGCACCACTAATTGCTTCTTCTGCAATTAATTTGTATGTCTGTGTTTTTCGTCTTCCCACAACCATACCACCCCACCTTTTCAACTCTAGGTGATAAAAGAAACAGATAAGTTTGAGAAGAAACTTAAAGACATGCAGTTTTTGCGAGAGCATTCCACAGACCTGTTAAAATATGCAAGGAACGTGAATGTTCACTTTGCCAGTAAGAAGTGTCAAGACGTGATAGTCACTGCCAGAAACCTGATGACATCAGAAATTCACAACACTGTGAAGGTGAATTAATTATTATGTATAGCCCGAAGCTGACACATTATACTGACCTGGAGCGTGGTTGAATTGGGAAAAAGCTGGCTGCCCCTTGGTTCCTCAGCAGTTTTGTTTTTCAACGTAATCTTGAATATTTGTATTGTGCTGGAAAATGCTGTATGAAATGTGGCTAATTTCCTAAATTGTAATACCTGGCTTATATTGTTTGAACTCTTCAGTGAGTGCACTTTCATGTGTATGATTAAATTTATTTAGTATTGCTAACATATGGCACTAGAGGGAAA